GTTCAAATGCACTCCTCAGAATTTCATACTGGGTAAATTTATTTGTCAGGCTTTCACTGAATCAATGGCATATGTATATGTAATTATTTGCTGTAAGTAATTGACGCAGTCGCGTTCACCCATGGAAAAGTGGGAGAAGATAACTCCATCCATTTTGTAGAACTTGTTGTTGTTGCAGTTTAGAATCGTTTCGAGCACCGAACAAACATAGACTGTAAAACTATTAGTGACAAAAAGCTGAGAAATTAATGTGAGCGAAATTGGATAGGTTTCCGCAGCGGATTTGGGCAAAAACGTTTTCATAACCACATATTTCTAAAAATAATTTGAGAGGATCGTATCGCTTTTCCCGCAAATTTAACGCATTTTAAGTATATTAATATATTCGGGCTACTTTGGGTTTTGCTCGTCATATTGTTGGGAGGGAGAAGTTTTAAAACCTTTCCGCGATCTCCATAGAAAAAACTTCTGAATTCGGATTTTTTACCAGATACTTGAGATTGACGGATTTTCCGGCCTAGACATTGAACCTGATTTTCTTAGGCCACCCACCCACCCGCCCCCGACTTCCCTAAGGCAATTACGTAGCGTTTTCGTTTTAATTGCCACGTAAGACCGAGACTCGATAACAAGCGCTGGTGGGACCCCAGAGAGATTTGAGTCACTCTTACTCGAGAGAGTCTCTGAGAAACTCTGTCGAGTCTCTGAGAGAGAGAGAGCCCTGGAGCTTCCTCTAGGTTTAAAATTTGTATCAGAAACAAATGGATCAAAGGCATAATTTGGCATTTTTGCTCCATCTGGGCCTTTCTTCTACCTGCCACCCGCCCAATCCCTTCTAGCAAACCTTTTTTAGAAATCAAGCAAGAATGTCAACTACACGCGTTTTTTTATTATCATTTTTTGCTTCGTTTCTCTTACAAACGAGCCTTGCATGTGGACTAGTTGACTGTCTGCTACAGAGATTTTAACTAAACCTATTTCAATATACTTGTGTCTGGCATCGTTAAATTCTACTGATTTTTAATTCAGACTTCACTTATTCAACAACAGAAAAAAACCTATTAGACCAGGCTTCTCGAGGGAAAAATTATTTAAGCTATCACACTTCTGTGCTTTGTATTACAGCCTAAACAAGTTCATTGTTTTAAAAATAGCCTAAATCGAGCTTATTAGTTTGAAAGCATCAAAACCATCGAAAACTTTTTGCCGCTGTGGTTTAACAAAGCCGCTGTAAAAAGATTACATCACCACTAAAGAAACGACAAAGAGACGGTACACGTCTTCAAAACATTCTCTAGTATAAAACTATTTTCTAATTGAAAATTGGTATTGAAAATTAAAACATATTTGTTCATTTATAGCATCAACTGAATGGGGTCTCTCTCTTTACCTTGTAACTATCTGTAATGTTTCCTCTGTTTGGCAGACATGTCTTCAACCTGATATTGAGCAATTACAGCATTTCTATCAGTTCTTGCATCTACACTTTACTTCATGTATTCTGAAGTACGAATTACTTCATATATTCTACTGAAAACTACTTCTTAACCAACTGCATCTATAACTATATCTACATTAAATCGGAAAATATTCGTGTTTTAAACTAGGAAGAACTTGGTGTGGAATGACGCACCTACATTAACGTTTAATTTATTCCTGACTCAAGAATATAATTGAGCTACCAAGAATACTAAAGGCTCACATTTTTGCTTAGTCTGTGATTGAAAAGGCAAACCAAGGACACGTTCAAAACTGTCCTTCCTTACCAGTGACCAAGCTCTCCTTACAAAAGAAAAATGCAACAACAGCTAACAAACAGTGGTATTTTCATGTTACCACTGTAAAATATGCAAGCGTCTCTTATCTGCTTGCGTAAACACTGCTACTGTTAAAGGATAAGTTTGCTTTGTTCTCTTTAACGTTGCGAAATAACTAAACCTTAAACATCTGTATGAAAAAAAGAAGCTGTATAGTCACTACATGAGGATACTTAAATATTTTACAGAATTGACCAGAGTCATGCTTTGACCCTAGCCTCGGCTAAATATTAGAATACCTAGGCTAAGGTTTTTACGGTTCAAAAAGTAAACAAACGTAAGGTGCACCAGATGTATTGGAACCATGAACTCCGCGCCAAACAAAATACACGGGTTTGAGTTTTTCAATTCCGAATCAGAACTTCGCGATACATCGATCACTCTACATGTTCTACTTCGTTTTTAAAAATAAATTGTTCGTCATGTCTTTCGTCGAATCCACTGATATACAAATGCAGAGGAACGTTGGCCATTAATGCTTGAAATGAGTCCTCGCTGGAGTATTTTCCGTCCAAGCACCATCCACACCCTGTCAATGCAGTTAATAGCATACATAAGTTTACATTATTATCTTAACACGTTATATTTTACGATTCGTTGTCTGATACGAATTTTGCAGCTACCCACTGCAAACGCCAGGTACCTTAAGCTTTCTACGGCGCCTTATTTTGGGATTTGTTCCTACATTGGCCATTATACTCACACAAATACCCGTAAGAAGCTCGAAACCAGAGCTAGACCGTTATACTTCTTTTGCAATTCATTCAACAGTTGACAGTTTAGTTAGGAGGCAAACTGAATGTCGAATGTAGATGCAAATGTCTAAACTTAGGTAGCTCGCTTATTCACCTCTGTCTGCGTCACTTGACGTGTTCATGCCAATTTCGGGTGCAACAAAAATGATTTTAACATATAATAGTAAAAGCAATTTTTATATGGGTTTTGTTTGTGACCGATATAAAGCGCTCTCTGATCGGCTAATTCTAGGGCAGTATTGTCCCGTAAAGCATTCCCCGGGCCAATTTTGGGCCTGCGAAAACAAAGCAAAAGCCATATAATAAACAACTTATAAACTTCGAACGCTCGATCTTTTCGGGAAAACCTCGGTAAGGCCTGGGTTTGAGATTTCCCCGTTAAGAGCTCAGTCACTTTGGTTAATAAGTAGTTAGTATTGTACTTATAGTTCGGTGCTTATCCTCGGTTTCCGTAGCATGAAGCGGCCAGGAGTATTGCTGCTCCCCCTAGATGGGATGTTAATCTATCGCGGGGTTACCCTAGCATTCTGTGAGATTCTCCCTCCCACCCCTCCTGCCCCCAACAATTTGCCGGCACCCATTTATACTCCTGGGTGGAGAGAGGCACTGCGAGATTAAAGTGTCTTGCCCAAGAATGTATCGGGCCTAAAAATGGGTTCTTTTAGTAAAATGCCCCTTATTTCGTCATTAGTACTTTAATTTAGCATCTACCTTAGGGTATCCTGTCTTTGACTCGCATCACGATACTCTCTGAAAGCTGTAAGGCCTGCTGAGCCATCTGAGCGGTGTAAACTTCGTTAGGGATCTTGGGTGCTTCGAACACCTGGTCTGGATATCGCATGCGCGCCGAGCAACCAACAAGTCTCTCCAGATCTCTTGCTAAGTTGGTTAACATGGAGTCATTCAAATCAATACAATTCCTAACCAAGTTGTGGTCCCTAGTATTGTTAGCATCTATTGTGTACTGAGTCGCCTTTAGTGCCTTCTCTGCTGCCTATATGAAAACAAAATTATGCAAAGTATTGCAACAGGCCAGGCAGACTGGTTACCAATAATGACAACTTAGAACGGTGACAGTTCAAACAAGGAAAGAGCGGAACAACAAAGAAGGACTTCACAGAGATTCCAAGTGTTCTAAAGTATATTATGAATATTATTTTGTAAACTCAGTTGTATAACGAAATATTTAATCGTTAACAGTGCGAGATCTCAAAAGTTTTTTTTTTAACAAGCTAAACAATATCGCTGCCAGGCAATTAATGATCTTTACGGTGGCATAAAACTATTTTTACCTGATGGCACTTAAAGCAAGCCCACTCATAGGAAGGTCTGCTGCAATCAATGTCGTTTGCAACGGCCGTAAGGTCAGCTTCAGCCTGTTTGAGCCAACGTCTGGCCTCTCCCGGCTGAGGGTTTCTTTTGCTGAAGCTTGGAGGAATATTATGCCATGGCCTGCGATCTGATGAAGATTCCCAAGGCCCGTACTCTTGGAGGAACCTTTCTATGTATTTATCATGCTGCAAACGATGCTCTCTTGCACGCGTTACCCAGGCCTCAATGTATTCGTCGTATGAACCGCCCAGTCGAAGGATTTCGTTCTTGATGTACTCAAATGCCTTTACGCAGAATTCTTCCAATTCATCTCCAAAATTTTTCTCTGGGTGCCAACGTAGAACTAGCCGCTTCACGATTTGTCGTGTGTGTTCTTCTCGTATTGTCCATGCATCCTCCAGTATCTTTGAGATCTCACCAAAAACCTCTTCTCTATTACTGTATCTGGGGAGTTTAGTTGCCTGATGAGATATCTCTTGTATGCGGTGTAATTTGTACAAAAAGGCAGAATTGACCTCTACTGGTTCTTTGTCGTTTCCAATGTTGATTAAGTACATCTTCGTCAGGTAAATGAAATCTTGATCGATCACGTCAAGCTCCTCAATAATCTCAGCGTAGATGTACGTCGCAACGCCTTCCTCAAGTTGTAGGCTCGGGTCGTGTAGCTGATAACCTACAAGTTCCCCTGGTGTAAATTCTGCAAAGGCGTCATTTAGTAGATGGTGCTCGTCGATTGGAATAAAGGTTCCCGGCTCTA